ACATACATACATACATACATACATACATACATACATACATACATACATACATACATATATATAAAACACCAACTCATTTTAGATATTTGTGTAAAGAAGTCCAAGTAAAATTTCTCCCTCAGCGTGCTTTGTGCCTCGCACACGAGCCCTATGAAAGAAGCCATCCAGTCAAGCTGTGGGATAGTGAAATGTCTATGAAATTGAAAAGGATCCTTTCAATGGAAACTATTTTAACGAAAGTCCTACTATAAACGGGTGAGTATATTATACTCGCCTATAAAGTGCTCTCTCTGCGTTGATCAACGAAGTCTCTATGATAATCCACTTCAAGATGCTTCTCAATGGCACTTATTTACAGAAAGACAGGTTGCCAATGTCCTCCTTTTCAGTGCATTTCCCGCTTGACCGGATATTTCTCATACGAACAAAAATTAGGTATAGAGGAATCTCTTGGTATCCAATTGTTGAGCTCACTTCCATTTCGAGTGAAGGTGTTTGGTGAAGAGATTCGAAGGTCGATTTTACCTTATTGCCTGATTCGCTTGGAAATGGTTGTAGGAATGAAAGCCTACTCTGATGAAGTCCGACAGAAATGATGGAGATTGTCTCGGCAACATCGTGAAACAGGTGGTCAGGAGGACTCATCCGTCGTCTCCTGGTGGGATTCACCCGAGACTCTTTTCATCACACACTTTCATTCGAAATAGAGAAAAGAGCTCAATAACATTTCACAGTCGAGTCTAACTAAACTTGCCGGATGTTTGACACTCTTGGCTTACCTGTGCTGATCACGTCGATCCAGAGCCGAGCGATTTGGGGACTCGGAGCAACCAGCAGGTACGTCTGCCGCGGCGTCTCGACGCAGAAGATACGGCTGCCCTGCCCATCGTGCGCGTCTTCTCCCGTCCCCTTGGCCCGTGGCGACAGCATGTCTGCAGTCTCGGCCTCCCCGAGACAGACACCACTTCCGGCCGTCGCGCTGTCTTCACCCTTTTCAGCCTCGTCTCTGTCCTCCCTTTTCACTCCCGACTTGGTCGTCAGACTATGCCTCATGTGATGCCCACATGTGCCGACCTCGTGGCCCCCCCCTGGGCCAATCGAGTCCCTGCGGGCCGAGGTGACCCTTTGTCCACAAGCACAATTCGCCTCATTCACATGCTGCTGCTGTTGCTGCTGCTGCTGCTGCTGCTGTTGCTGCTGCTGCTGCTGCTGCTGTTGCTGCTGTTTTTCCGACGGCCCGCCAGCCAGTCTTGCCACATCTCGTGCAGACGCCTTTGCTGACGACTTGTCGACTCGGGCGCCTCGAAGACCGCCAAACAGCGCGGCTCTCGCCACCACGGCCAGGTTGGAGGCTGCTGTCTGCAGGCGACTGTGAGAGCCGGCCGCGGCTCCGAGCCCCCGAGACCGCGCCTGCGATTGGCCCACGTCGCCGAGCAGGCCCATACGAGCATGCGAAAACGCCGCCTGCTGCGTCGTTCTCTGAGGCCGTGTATCAGCCCGGCCGGCAACTGGGCAATCGGCCTTCATGGCGGAGCCGTTGCCGACGAGGCAGAGGGCAGCGGTCGCGACCAGAGGTGAGTTGTGGTTGGTGCACAGTTTGGCCTCGCCCGGAGGCAGAAGGGAATCGGTCTGACGACTCTGACGTCCAGAGCCCGTCGGGTTGGTCGGCTTCCCCTCGCAGCTCAATTCATCTCGACGCAACGGAGGCTGGCTCAAGTCGTCCTCCTCGTTGCCGGCCGCCTGGTTGGTCGGGCTGGGGATTAGGGCCTGGTGAAGAGGCAAATGATACATTTGAAGGGCGCGTCGCACCACGTTCGACTGACGTCGCGGCGACCGAGAGAGGCGGAGGGAGAGCGGAGGTGGGTGGTGGTCTGCGTAAACGGCCAAAATGTCTTGGAAAGAGATGCAACCTTGGAGAAAATTGAGGGTAGACAGAGAATCAGGTAGACTAAGGCGGAATAAAGAGGTGATAACCAAGAAATGGCTTCGAGATGGGAACGAATAATGAAGACATTTCAGCGCTTGGCATTCAAGTAAGCTCTGTTTTTTTGCACGAAACTATCACATGCATACAGTTGTTGAAAAATTATAATAGGCTGTAAGCAGTCTTCTCTTCGTCAAATGGCCGGTTTGCGATTATCGTTTAGTCTAATTCCTCAAATGTCTACTTCAGACTCACCGAAATAGTAATTGTTGTATTGAAAAGTATTGTTTTTATAACATGAAAATAAACTATTGCATTTGAGGCAAAAATATATACCAAATAGTGGACGTCAGCTCCACTCATATCAGTGTGGAAAAATTCTACTAACAGTCCTTCATCACCGTAAACGAAATAGGGTAAATACATTTCATATAACAGATTTACTGGTAGTCTCGAATTTCTACTTATATACGAAAAAGTAGTATGTATTCTATTGTCATAGCAAAAGTACGTTTGCTTCATCGACAATACCACCAGAGAATATGATATGTGAAAAGACCTGGCCTTCCTTGAAATTCACATCTGCCCTGTGACCCAAGGGCACTCGTGGCAATGCGGCGAGTGGTTAACGTGTAGACGTCACATTCTGTACAGTCACGGTTCGACTCCCGCTGGGGGTGCTGATAAGACCGAGGCGAGGTCGAAAGTGCAGTCCACTGGTGCCTGGATGAGAACAACTTTTGTGAAAGCAATGCTCTACTCATATCATTTTGGGAAAATTTTAATCATAGTCCTTTATCACCTTAACCGAGATAGGGTGAATACATCTCATATAATCTCGAAACTCTACTAACATACGAAAAATGCTCTTGGCCAGTCGTCAATAGGCTTTGGTGAAACGTTTGGTTCTTCTGACTGAAACTACAGGTACGTGTAGTAACTCTTATTCCACAATCAATTTTGTCACATGTCTCGTCGTAACCAGCCCGTAAGCAGTTATCTTACAAATCATACAACACCATCCGGAGCAAGACTCATGTGAATTATGTCCAGAAGGAACTATTCGAACTCAACCACCGACTCGAGCTTCTCTGCTCAACCAATCAGATCATGGCATTAGGAGCACTCAGGAGTATTGTTTTATCATGAACTCGTGGAGTGACGGTCGCTTTTCGGTCACTCCTCTTGCACCAACAACACACTTTGCCATCGTCTTTGTTGTCCCAACTCCGAATAGTCGTCATGCGACGGACGAAAGATTAGCAAATGCTACAGTAAAACCAATCGGCTACTGATCAAGAGAAATCCATTCTCATCTTTTTGTGGAATCGACCTTCGGGTCTCTTCGTAAAGCATACATTATCTCATAATTGAAATGAGTTTAACTATTATAAACCGATAAATTTGGCGAAATCAAGCACCTCCACACAAAATAGAGTAATATTTTATTCATCTCATGCTATGCATTTATCGAATACGAGAAGGATAGTGTATATTCCACACCATTTTTAAGCAAGCAAAAGGAGAGATACCGCAATTGCTTAGCAGACAATTGGCCAAAGGGTCGACTTCACTTGTCTCTTTGGCGAGTTGTAGTATGGTGTTAAGAATGACAAGGCTCACTGACGATGCCGGCGAAACGTCTGAGAATGTACCAAGTCCCTAGTCCAACCCCAGAAATTATCATGCATTCTTTGGACTCAGGACTAGATGCGTTCTTCTAATGCTTCCTTCCAATATGACCAAGTTGCGAAAACAAGGTCAAGCAACTTCTATGCAACTAAATAAGACTGCGACCAAACAAAAGGCCATCTTGGTCTTCATACAAGCGTATATTCTGTTTATTGACGTCTTTGCTGCCTACTCCCATCTTACTCTCAGTTTAGTGGATCACCGAATTCATAATTTAAAAAAAGGTAGTGTAGGCGTGGACAAAGTTGGGCTATAC